AAGAAAGAAAAGTCGGAGAATCGTTTCAAAGCTAGAACGCCTCCAGCCGCAGCAGGAATGTGCGAGCACAACGGGACCACGGCGCAATCGTGAATTTGTACATGTGTACCAACCCCCGGCTCGTATTTCTTTTTTCGTAGGATGCATCTAGTTAACGAAGCCATGTTCGGCCTCCAAAGGCTGAAAGGACCATAACAAATGCAATCATCCTGCTTGTCCTTGCATTGGGCGCAGTTCTGCATGAAGATGGACCGATCGGAGGTGCCCTCGACCCTCGCAAGGAAATTGCCCAGTCAATCCACTCTCCTTCGACACGAATGCGGTATTCACCTGTAACCGAGGAACTCATGAACCTGGATGTTATTCCTGGGCTACACTACTATGCGTATGCATCCGAAATCCTTGGAACTATGCACGGTGGTCACGAACTTTACCATGCTCAGGCGTTTCTGCTAGCGAGCCTGTATATGAATCAACTTGGTCGTGGCTTAGAGAGCTATAGCTGGATTAATGCTGCAGCCTGGGTCATTAGGTTCAACCTTAAAATGTACCTTACTTCCTAGATGATTCATGTAGAACGCTAACTCGCCGTAGAAATCACCTATGTGTGAAGCCTGACCCTCCCGACCACTCTGAATGGCGAGATTATGATCGCCAAGAGCATCCCGATAATCTACCACCTGGTGAGGTCGCCGAGTTTAAAATCAAGATGAATCTCCTCAAGTTCGTATATTGGTCAGCAGTACAGCTTGAAAGGTTAGTACAAAACGATGGGGCACCATTAAATAGTAAACTAAACTATGGCAGTGATATCCTCGCAGAGTTGCCGCTACCAATAAGTCATATAACACTTTGGGAAGATCGAGTTGCCTATCCGAAATACATTAATGGTAGTCTCCCAGATCTTAACGAAGTGCAAGATCAACCAGTGTCTGGCGAAATGGGACAAGTCGACAACCAGCATGACATTACCATAGTGTTGTTTTTGGCACAGATACAGTTCCGTAAGATACTCAACCAGGTCCCCATGTATCTATCCACCTTATGGGACCATCCACCAGACAGCTTCCCAGCTGGCGTCTACGAGCCTCCATTCGGCAGAGAGGCGTCAACAGGCATACCTTCGTTTCTTAATTGGTTATATAATTGGCGAAATGTGAGCAAAGCGATGGGCGTGGACTGGGATGATAATGATGATCCTTCCCTAGATCTGAATATTGCTAGGCTACGAGCGAAATACTATGGAGCAGAAACAATCATTACTCGACCATACCTACACTACGTATACCATTGCCCGGGGGCCGACCAAGACGTACTTAAACGAGCATGGACTTACATCAGATCTTCAAAAGAGAGCTTAACGGCTTCAAAGCTCCGGGAAGCGGATTGGGGGAATTCACTTGAAGATCTTCTTGAGAGTGATCCAACTCAGTCTCGGGATGGCATTAGTACCAAAGCAATCAGGAGCATGCTGCTTAGTCATGCTTGTATGTGGTCCTCGATCCGGAGTACGAAAGCTTTTAACGGTATTCGAACACGTCTAAAGGTAACGAATATTTTTGGCACAATCCATGCGTGAGTATCCTTCATTATTACATAAGATATTAAACACATGATATCAAACACCTAACACGAGACGACAGTCAATTCGGAAATTGCTTGGTTCTTGCACAGTGCTGCGAGTCTGTATGGTTTAAAGACCTTGACGGGTTTGCCCCGATCCACGAAGTCCCCAAACTCCTTGAAGAAACGATGCACAAATGCAAGACATACTCAAACCTCGCACCAGCTCTTGGCAAGGATTATCAGGTTTTACACAAAGCTTTATATAGCATCAGAGGATTACAGAGATAGCTAGTACATTTTCCAAGACGCATATCATGCGCCGTGGAATAGCATCAAAATGGCAGTTTGCCTCCCAGATCAGTCCGTGACCTGGTGTGGTAGAGTTTTAGATGAATCGGAGGGTTTCTCATAATCCTGGAAGGTGAAAAGTACACAACCTATAATTATATCGTCATCTCCGTCAGATAACGGACGGTAATGTCACCTGACTCCTTGGTTATGCTCACAACGGCTTCAGCCTATAGATATAATAAGAACAATGGCCTGCAGAGAAATGTACAAGGCTTAAAGCTACTGAATCCATCCTCGGGATCAGTTCGCGGAATCGCTTTGAACTTTGAGATGTGTGTTGTGCTCTCGGAGCAAAGGGTTGCATGGGTCCCATAGCAATCAGTCACCCTGTTCAAGTGGAGGCTTCAGGCCAGCCACTGGTCGTACATAGTGCCTCAATACTGATGGAGGTTAGTGCTGGCAGCGCGTATTGATGCTGCAATAGTAAGGGCCGTTCTGCATGTGACAAGTGATAGTAAGCTGCAACTCCTTATTTGAAATTGGAAGCACAGATCACCATGCACCCGCACGAGTCCAACTACCAACCTCTTACGCCCACGTCGTGCAACTTAAGGAGCTCTTTATGATATAGGCGCCGCCCCTCTCTCCATGTTCAAAGCTTTGTGGTCACAGATCACCGCATGTTCGCAACACAACCACACATACATCTTCCGTACAATTCCAACTTCTGGGCAATGACAGCAGCGTACCAGTCTCATAGAATCCATTCGCCAAACCGACGAAAATGGTTCTACGGTCGTAAATGATACCGACCCAGTCCATGCTCCTAACAAAGACCGTGATTGGGAGGCAACGTCATTTCTGATTTCTCCCGATGATGAGCTTCACGACGGTGACAAAGAGGAGAACTACCAAAGTCGTTTTGAAAGGCATGTTGAGAGCCACGAAACTCGTCGGCGGCGGAAGATGCTCCGGCAACGCGATGACTTCTATAACCTCGATCCAGACTTCAATGTAATACCCGATTCGGGGCACAGAGATCGAGCTCGACTGTCCTCCGACCTAACTGTTGCCGCTGTCACTCCAATTCTCAGCAACTTTTCGTTCAAATCAGTCAACACATCATTCGGTGCAACCGACGGTTCATCATTCTTCAACCCTTCATCATTCATTTCAGAAACGGCGATGGGCCCGGAAAGGGACCAACAAAGAAACGAACAGATTATCCGGCCAGGCACTCAAGAGTATGAAACTTCAGCGGCCGACCTCGCGAGCATTGACGAAACTATCACGCTGGTTACGACAGAAATCTCCCACAGGCCGACCCGTATTGTAGTCCGTGCAAAGCCGTCCCTAGTCCCAAATGAACCGAACAATTTGGTCCATACTGCGAGCTCCAGTCTTGAAATCGCCATAAGAGACAGCAATCCGACATTACTTTTCATCAGAAATTGAGGAAATCATGAACGTCCTTGTCTTCGGTGTCTTTCATCCCGGATACGACCATTCTACTGCTCACCGAGTGGCCAATCTATCCGTCGTGTTCGTTGATTACGGCAAGTGGTATTCAGTGGTCAAATGGCAGATTACGACCTGGAAACGGAAGTCAACGACGCTATTGCTAGACTGCCTTACGTTGTCGATAATAGAGGAAACAATATCCGACTATTTCCAATCCTCACGACATGATCAGAATGAATGCATGGTACAAAACATGATTATTAGCATGATTTGTGAATTGCGCAGCGATAGTGAACAAATCCGCATCAGGCGCCATTCTCTCTCTTATGGTCTATGTGACGTTATGTACTCCTGCTCCGTTCTTAACACATTCCTTTACCTCGACAATCTGCAAACGTCCAAGTTGGTCTTGATGAAAACGCCATCCAGTTATGACCGCGGTGTCACCTTTATGTGGAGTCCATTCTCGAGGTTGTACAGTCGACTGTGTTGCTTCAATTCCAGCCAACGTGTTTTCAACAATGATCCCATTTGGCATCCCATCGCTAGGATTAGGAACCAGACTGATAGTCTCCCTCAAAGCCAACGAGATAAGTAGATCGCGAAGCGCATCAAGGAAGCTCGTGTCGAAGTGGGGTACACGTGTGTCACCTAAGCTGTATTCGAACGGCTCAAAAGTGAGCATGCTATTCAAATACAGCGAGTGCGGAACCAGCAAAGTTGCGTCCACAGAGTGTACATCGCAAACAGAGCAGACATCAATGTCTCCTGCGTTAAGACGATGTAACATGATTTGGTTGTCTTGTAGATCGAAATGTCGATGGAGAAGTCCAACGCCATAGTGCTGTTGAACGTCATGCTCTATGAAAAGCTCTCCGAT